GGCGCTGAAGCTGTGTGAGTGACACTGATCTCTCTGTGCATGTGTGTGTGTGTGTGCCTGATCTTCATCCATCCATCTATCCATCCATCCATTTACTCTAAGCTCTTAAGCAATGCTGCTGTTAAAAAGTCCCCTAAAACTCTAAGCCAAGAGCAATAACATGAGCGGCAGGAGGATAACGTTGATGTAATGTCAGACACACACAACTGACACCCAGTGTTACTCTCGTGTTAACAAAACCCATCACGGTCTGTCTGTCCGTCTGAAGGCGCGCGCTAATCTGCTCTTAATCACAAGCTCTTATTTACAAAAAATACATTTTTTATTAATGCGGCAGAGGGGGAGGGGAATGAGGGAGAGGAGGATGATGGTGATAGCGGTGATGGTGATGGTGATTTTGTGATTAAATGATGCCATCGTTGTGTTGGTGGATTAGGACGGGCATGGAAATAGATTAGTTCTGCAGTGGTTTTTCATCATGATTGGCAGGCCTCCAAAACCTCACTCCACACACTCCCTCTCCCTTTCCTCTCTTTCTATTGCTCCCTCTCCATAAAGCAGAGCTGTGCAGAGGTCTATGGTTTGTAGGCTGCTAGCACCACCCGCTGGTAAAGAAAGACATTGTAAAAATATCCCACTCTTTGCTCCACATAACTTCACTTTGATTTAAATGGATTGTGCAGTGGTTTGGCTCAACCCGAATGGTTACTGTGGCAAACTAAAGGAAAATATACAACTAATTTGTTTTCCCCAAACACATTTTGAATGAAACATAATTGCTGGATGGATTCTCTTGCAGCATTTTTCCAGTCAAGAAAGTCCTCAGTTCTTGTAGCACACAGATCACAAGGGAGGGGTTGGGATGGATAGTTGGTGACTCTGACTTGCATGTGGGTAACAAAAACCCTTTCATTAGGGAAAAGCTTGTGGTTTTGGTTTAAGACTGTGCTGTATTTCACACAATGCCAACAACAGACCTACATCTGCAAAGATCCATACTGTGGTTACCTTGCATTATAATAGATAAACATCAGTTTGCATCTCTAGAAAGAAGTGTTTTCTCTTTGCTCCATTAAAACCTGCAGCTGACCACTCATGTTCATTGTGCCATTAGGTTATTACAGCTGTGCTGGACATGTGTTGATTGGTAGTGTACAAATACAAGGTGCAAAGTGTTAAAGAACATTAAGGTGGAGTTTTCCTCATATAGACCTTTTCCACAAACAGGGAACTGGCTCCTTTTCAGCTCCTGTAGTTTTGAACCATTTGGAAGGTTTTAAACCACAAATAAATTGGTTCGGAACCCAAAAAGTTGGTTCCCAACTGAAACCAAAAAATGGCAGGTTTTCCATGGGAACCAAAATGGGTGTTTCATATTCTTCAGGTCATTTTGCATTGTGGAGCTCCCTCTGTCCGATCCGATTACAGTGGTTCCACTCAAAACTGGTGGAAACGGGGGCTGGTTCACTAGAGAGCACCAAGGTTCCAAGAATCTTGAACAGAACCGGTTCAAAAACCAGAGCTAATTTGTTGGGAAAACACTATTAGTGTACAGTGAATGTGTGAAGTTCTGGAAAGAGACACTGACCACTCCTCTGCCCCTCAGCATCAGCAATCTGCAGCCATCACTCCTCTCTCTGATTCCTCATTAGGATTCCGAGACAAACACAACCGAGTCAAGTAGACACACACAAATGTACAAATGTACTGCACACAGTTTGATTCTAATTGGGTGACCCAAAGCCACTGATATCATCTGCTATGGTGTGAGACCACCATCTCACCCAGAGCGACCGGTGGCCTCTGCAGTCACATCGCCTCCAAAGAACACTGGAGGAGTGAGGGAAGGAGGAAGGGTAAAGAAAAGACAAATAAAAGACAAACTGGCCTAAGAAGGAGGGAGAAGAAGAGGAAGAACACAACAACAACAACGACAAAAACACAAAGTGGCGCCGAGTTCATTAATTAGAATTTCAAATTGGACAAACTCAAGATGACAGCGTTGCGCTTGTCAAATCAGATCATGCCCCGGCGGGGTGAGGGAGAGGGAAGAGAGAGAAGGAGGCACACTGCTCAGAGCCAAATACCACTCTTAGTAGCTGAATGGGTGCCATCTCTGTCTCTCTCTCTCTCCTTCCTTCTCTCTCTCTTTCTCTCCATTTCCTCTGATTTCGCCGACTGCCTCCCCTCTGTCCCCGCTTGAATGTCACGGCCGCCTTAACAAGAAGTGACAATTAAAACATCATCGCCGTCTCCAGGCTGAATGGGAGCGGCCTGCAGGGGTCCCTGGTTTCTGTGAGGGGGAGAAATGGAGGATGAGAGAGAGAAAGACACACACACACACACACACACACACACAGAAAGATAATAAAAGAGATGGAGGAGCTGGAAGGAAAAATACAAGAGAAATGGAGAGAGAGATACTTTGGCAACATATACTGAACCATTATGCCAATAAAGATAAATTTGTGTATGTTTGGATGTATGTGTATAAGGAATGGAACAAAGAAAACATCCATGAAACATACATCATTAATGCTTTGAATAACCATGTAGTGGAAAATCCAGTGATACTGTGCCCTGAAATAAAATTTAAGCTGTCCATTTAATAACACAGGACCATCAGGATTAAGAGGGGAAAACATTGTATTTTTAGTTTGTATATTTCACTTCACTTCACACATTAGGTGTGAATTTACTGTCATGTGATAATCTGATTTAATGAGCGGTTTTATGTTTTTGTTTATTATTTTACTAAAAAAGGTTGGCAGTTCTTCATAGCCCTACTCACAACGAGAATGCAAACCAATACCAAAGCCAAGTAGTAGTAAATGTCTGTGGTGGATATATTAGTGTAACAGTTTTGTTGACACTGTGTCAGTGATTTCCAAAGTAAATGTAGCTAATATTCAGTCCATCTTGTTCAATCCAATATCACTGATATTGCATCCAAAAGTTTGGCAAATGTGCCAAAGATAGATCAGAACCTCTGACTGTGTTAAACCAGAACAGTTCCAGTGTCTCCATCACTTCACACCATCAGAGTACTTTAACACTTTCACATAGTTATGAATTATTGCCTCAGAGGCTCATCAGCAACTGTCCAATCAACACTTGAACACTCAAAGGAAATATCAATGAAATAACAGCTCAGATTAGCAATTTAGTGTTCCTGGAACAGTTTCAGTAAAGCTAACATCCGACATGCCCTTAAACAGTCACGCAATGTGTCCTCACCTGTCTACATGTCATTTAGATTAGATTAGATGTAATTGCAATGATCCCTGTGGGCGAATAATGGAGTGAAGAGCTTGAGAGACTAATTTATAGCTAATGATTATTGAACAAACTGCTGTGAGGGAAAGCAAACATAAGAACGGGATCTAGAGAATAAGATGAATTACATGCAATGGTAATTTCACCAGTGGCCTGGATCAAGCAGGCTAGATGGTGTTTGGCATTTTGAAGTATGTGTTTTATGTGTGTGTGTGTGCACTCACTGGACACTTCACCAGCTGTGCCACTGCACACAAGGAAGGAACTGCCGCCAAAATGAGCTGTCTTCACAAAGAGCCAAAAATCATCCAGGACGCCACTGGGCACCCCCACACGCACACACACATTCACACGTATGTGCATCCATTGCACGCACAGACAGAGGCAGACATATAGACAAGATCCCAGTTAATGAGGCATGTATTTACAAGTGGACACAACTTAAACTCCTGAGTTTTCATTTTTAAACTTGTACAGTGTATCCTGATTTATGTTGCGTGCATGTGTGTGTGTGTGT